GACTAGATTAATAAAGTGAACAGGTTTCTTTAACAAAGGACTTCTCAGAACCTTCACTATGACACTGTGTACCATAAAGGGGCATGTAATCTAACATGATTAAAGACTTTAAAAATTTCTTTAATTTTTCATTTCTCCAAGAAAAAGGGACTTTTTTTTATTCCTAATCGATTTTATAGGACCAATGGTAAGAAAATACAACCTGAAACCATTGGTATATATAAATTGGTGGCAGGCAAGCTGCATAAGGAAAGAAACCAATAGTGAAAATTCAATATTGAGTCATTTTTTAATCTGTTACCTCTTCTTCTTCCCGTGCCTACCGTTGGTCCGTTATGCAGCCTCCTGAAAGGAGCTTTTCCATCTTCGATACCGTAGATTGTCCAGCTTCTTTATTGCATCCTTTGTCCTCTGAATGAGATCTATTACGGTTTCAGGGCGCTCCTGAAGAACAAACATGTGCTAGATAGGGAGAAGGTAAAAGGTTGATTTTTTTTCTTTGACTAGTGCCACGTTCTCCTTCTCAGACCTCAGAGATAATATCCTATGATAGATAATGCATATAATCTATAGCTACATAATTCATGTTAAATTTTTCCTATTTAGAAAATTAGTCATATTTACATATATATACTGTAATATACAACTACTCTTTTTATTTTGAATATACATTTTTGTTGGTCAACTAAAAATGCAGAGCGGAAATAATTGAAGGTCTAAACACTAAGAATTAAGTCCAATCAGAGCTCCTGGTTGCTTCATATACTCAAGAACTGATGATTTCACACAAAAGACATGTTCAGTTCTGAGTCAGCATTAGTTTCAACAGAAATGTATTTAATGATAGTGAATTATGAAAAGATGAATCAGATATTAGATATCTATATCTAATATCTTTATATACAGGAACAATATTCTGCATAAAATACTAACATGAGATTTAAAAGTCATTAAATGTTTTGTAGATACATAGTTAGCATGTAAATTCCAGAAAGACATATTCTGCCATCCCTGAGTTCCATGAGATATATCCTGAATTCCTAAGACAACTTTTACCTCCTTTGTTAGTCACATTTATTTTTCTTAAGCAAAGAGTTGTAACTATGAATTGTAGCCCACTGTAACCTCAAACTCCTGGGCTCAAGCAATCCTTCACCTCGCTTCAAGGAGCTTCAGGACTAAGGGTGTGCACCACCATGTCCAGCTAATTTCATTTGATTTTTTTGGTGGGGGGTAGATAACTCCTGGCCTCAAGTGACCCTCCATCATGGCCTCCCAAAGCATTGATTGAGCAGGCATGAGCCACTACGCACAGCCTCTATACAATATTTTATTCAATTCCTTCACAACATAATAAGCATTATTTTTTTAGCTGGGCGCAGTGGCTTATACCTGTTATCACAGTACTTTGGGAGGCCAAGGTAGGCAGATCACTTGAGACCAGGAGTCGGGTTAGAACACTGGCCAATAGTGAAACCCTCAAAAATATGAAAAATAGGGCAGGGCGTGGAGGCATACGCCTGTAATCCCAGCTACTCGGGAGGCTGAGGCACGAGAATCACTGGAAGCTCGGAGGCAGAGGTTGCAGTTAGCTGAGATCATGTAACTGCACTCCAGCCTGGGTGACAAAGTAAGAGTCTGTCTCAAAACAAAAATAATTATTATTTCAAATCTATAAACGTAATGCTTGTAGAATATTTCATCAAATGTTTGCAGCCTAAAATTACCTAACCATTACTCTAATTTGGGGCAGCTATTTCTAATTTTTAATTCCAAGGATAAACAGCTTCATGTATTAAAATTTTTTTGTTAGTTTTTTTCTTTATGATAGACTGCAACAGAAATGTAATTAGGCCAAAAGATAAGAAGTTTCATGATAAATACTTCCTATCATTTTAAATAGGGGTATGATAATACATACTAGGGGCCAGCTTATATATATAAGACTTTTTAGAATCTAATCACCAAATACTAGTGGCTGAAGTTACTACTACATGAGTTAGAAAGGTTTCTTTTGCTTCTATTTGGCAAATGTAGCCAGTCACATTCTTCCTCTTTTTTTTTTTTTTTTTTTTTGAGATGGAGTTTCCTCTGACTGCCCAGGCTGGAGTGCAATGGTGCCATCTCCGCTTACCACAACCTCCACCTCCTGGATTCAAGCTGGATTTTCTCTTGCCTCTACCTCCCGAGTAGCTGGGATTACAGGCATGCGCCACCATGTCCAGCTAATTTTGTATTTTTAAAAGAGACAGGGTTTCTCCATGTTGGTCAGCCTGGTCTGGAACTCCTGACTTCAGGTGATCTGCCTGCCTTGGCCTCCCAAAGTGCTGGGATTACAGGCGTGAGCCACTGTGCCTGGCCATTCTTCCTTTTTCTTTAATTTGGTGTATACCACCATTTACAATATTGCTCCTTTTCCTTTCTTTCTCCTTCCTTCCTTCCTTCCTTCCTTCCTTCCTTCCTTCCTTCCTCTTCCTTCCTTCCTTCCTTCCTTCCTTCCTTCCTTCCTTCCTTTCTTCTTTCTTTCTTTCTTTCTTTCTTTCTTTCTTTCTTTCTTTCTTTCTTTCTTTCTTTCTTTCTTTCTTGAGATGGAGTCTTGCTCTGTTGCCCAGGCTGGAGTTCAGGGCGCTGATCTCGGCTCACTGCAAGCTCCGCCTTCTGGGTTCGCACCATTCTCCTGCCTCAGCCTCCCGAGTAGCTGACTACAGGCACTTTACCACCACGCCCAGCTAATTTTTTGTACTTTTAGTGAGATGGGGTTTCACTGTGTTAGCCAGGCGGTCTCATCTACTGACATCGATCCACCCACCTTGGCCTCCCAAAGTGCTGGGATTACAGGCATGAGCCACCGCGCCTGGCCTCTTTTTTTTTTTTTTTTTTTTTTTTTTTTTTTTTTGAGACACAGTCTCACTCTATCTCCCAGGCTAGAGTGCAGTGGCGCGATTTTGGCTGATTGCAACCTCCGCCTCCTGGGGTTCAAGCGATTTTCATGCCTCAGCCTCCTGAGCATTTGGGACTACATGAGTCCACCACCACGCCCGGCTAATTTTTGTATTATTAGTAGAGACAGGGTTTCACCATTTTGGCCAGGCTGGTCTCAAACTGCTGACCTCAAGGGATCTGCCCACCTTGGCCTCCCAAAGAGCTGGGGTTACAGGCATGGCCACCGCTCCCGGCCTACTATTTACAATAATATTGTTTTTATCCAAAACATAAACCCATTTATTTATTTTATTTGAGAAGGGTTTTTGTTCTTGTTGCCCAGGCTAGAGTGCACGTGGTGCGATCTCGGCTCACCACTACCTCTGCCTCCTGGGTCAAGCGATTTTCCTGTCTCAACCGCCTGAGCAGCTGGGATTACAGGTGCCTGCCACTGCGCCTGGCTGATTTTTGTATTTTTAGTAGAGATGGGGTTTCACCATCTTGGTCAGTCTGGTCTTGAACTCCTGACCTCATGATCCACCCGCCTCAGCCTCCCAAAGTTCTGGGAATACAGGCATGAGCTACTGTGCCTAGCCCTGTTTATTTTTATTTTAAATTAATTAATTAATTTTTTTTTTTTTGAGATGGAGTCTCACTCCTGTTGCCTAGACTGGAGCGTGTACTGGGTGTGATCTCAGCTCACTGCAGCCTCCGCCTCCTGGGTTCAAGCAATTCTCCCACCTCAGCCTTCCAAGTGGCTGGGACTATAGGCATGCACCACCACACCTAGCTAATTTTTGTATTTTTGGTAGAGACAGGATTTCACCATATTGGCCAGGCTGGTCTTGAACTCCTGACCTCAGGTGATCTGCCCTCCTGGCCTCCCAAAGTGCTGGGATTATAGGCCCTCATTCCTGACCCAGTGGTTGCTTTTAGAAGTCCAACATTAAGTGCAGTGGTTAAATCCATCTGCTTTGAGTAAGCTTTGTAGTCTGTTCACAGTAGAGGCCAGTTTAAACCTTAAACACCTGATCTTGCAGTGTTCTGTGTTCTGGGAGGACATAGAGGCCATCTGCTCCTCCTCTGCCCTTCTTTCACGCCTCGGCCCGTCTTCTCTCCTCCCTCCACCTATGAAGATGCCTGTGTCTGGGCTGACACCTGGCACCTGCGCTGCCTGTCCAGCAGAATCACCCATCCTCCCACTCCTCTCTTGCTTTCTGTTCACTCCTGACCCTCTGCTTTCAGACAAGCATCTGCCTGAAGAGGCTCCATGCCTTACTCATCCTGCACTTTTGTGTTGAGGCAAAGTAAGATTGAGTCAGGAGTTCAAGCATCAGTCTGCATTAAATGATGACAAAACCTTTCATCGCATAAAAATGCTGTGTTAGCTAGTGGTGGTTTATGCCCAACTAAATTTGCAGAGGAAAGTAAGCACAAGCAGATTGAAGACTGTCCTGCAACATGGCACATTTCACTTCACGGTGAGAAATTGCACTGCATGAGGCCAAGCCTGATATCTTACTGCTTACTAAAGCTAGCGGTGAAAGCTTACTATCCCCAGGCACAGTGAACCAAGATTGTGCCACTGCACTCCAGACTGGACGACAGAGCGAGACTCCATCTCAAAAAAAAAAAATACAAAAAATTAGCTGGGTGTGTGTGGTGTGCGCATTTCATCCCAGCTACTGGGAGGCTGAGGCAAGAGAATCACTCGAACTCCGGGAGGCGGAGTTTGTAGTGACCCGAGATTACGCCACTGCACTCCAGTCTGGGTGACAGAGTGAGACTGTTTCAAAAAAAGACAAGTGTCTCCACTCTATTCAGAAAGGCATTTACTATAAGGGCATCCTGTGGCATTCCTTTGCGACTGTCTACCTTCTGCTGCCGCTACCTGCATGCCCTGGAGGGTCAGGTTCATCTACTGTGGGTGGATCAACTGTTGCAGGCTGACTTTTCGCTTTGCGCCAGGTCGAGGTCTCCAAGCGCTTGGGTTTGGGAGCACCAGGAACATGTGGTCTTGGGGGAGGGAGGGTGGGTGTGAGATTCAGTCCATCCGCCTCCCAGGAACACAGCCAAGGATGTGGGGCCTGCTTCAAGCCTGGGACCGCATGGAGCCTCCCCGGCTTCCTGGTGACATGGCCTGTCCAGCCTGGGTTCCAACCCATGATTACAGAGCTAGCCAGGTTATTTGGTCGGGCTCAACAGGTGGCAGAGTTGAAACTGCAGACAGGGACGCATGGAGAATGCCTGCCCTAGTTCACGTTGCTGCTCTTTCCGCAGGCATTCTGATCGACTGGCTGCGGAAGGCTACTCATGAAGGACTTCACAAGCCTGTGTCTGCACCTGACCGTGGAGTGTGTGGACTGCACCTGCGGAGGAGGTTGGTGCCGCGGGCACAGGCTCCAGCTGCTGGGCATCGCCTGCATGGTCATTCGCACCCGGTGAGAAGCTCCTCGCCCAGCCGGGCAGGGGATGTGCTGGCTCCTTCCTGGGCTAGGTCATCTGCCCTTCACGTGCTCCTCACTGGTTTTTTTTTTTTTTTTTTTTTTTGGAGACCAAATCTCACTCTGTCACCCAGGCTGGAGTGCACTGGGTGTGATCTCGGCTCACTGCAACCTCCCGCCCTCCCAGGTTCAAGCTATTCTTCTGCCTCAGCCTCCAGAGTAGCTGGGACTGCAGGCGCGCCACCATGCCTGCCTAATTTTTGTATTTTAGTAGAGATGGGGTTTCACCATGTTGGTCAGGCTGGTCTCAAACTCTTGATTTCAAATTATCTACCCACCTCGGCCTCCCAAAGTGCTGGGATTACAGGCATGAGCCACTGCACCTGGCCCTTACTGGTTCTTGACTCATGAGCCGTGAGTATCCCACCTGGTCAGACGTGGAGTGCCATACTGAGGGCCCTCCGCAGGCAGGGGTGATGGAACAGCCTTCAGCGTGGGGGCTGATTGTGTGGGTGCCTGGCATCCAGGCAATTTGTCCTGGTGTGCGGTCTCAGAATTCCAAAGTGTGGCTCACTGGCAGGCACAGGCCAGTCCGCCCTGTCCCTTGGCTCCTGAGGGCGGCAGGATGACTGATCGAGGGTGGCAGTCGGCCGCCCTCTCTGAAGTCAGGTTCTAAAGTCTGTTGCCAGAGTTTCCTACACTCTTGGAGTTACAGGGTTTTTCGTCCCCACTGGTGCCCCGGCAGAGCCCACTCCAACCACGTGGGTGTCTCTCAGCAGCAGGGGTGCTGCCTTGCACGTGCAGCCTGTCCCTTTCTACATCAGACCACTGCTTTCCTTTTTTTTAACTAATGCTGGATCCTCAGTTTCCACCTTTGGGAATAACGTGGAAATGATTCTCACAATACGTTTTTAGATTTCCTAAACCAGCTGTCCCCAGCATGGTCTACATTTCCTGAGAAGTGCTTTCCAGACCAACTTCTGTAGAGCCTGGTGGGGGAGGATAGGCCTGGCTGCACAGCACATGTAAGCTACAGAGACTTGTTTCTCTCTGCACAGGTAACTCCAGAGGCAGAGGGTCCGGGCTCAGGTCATTGGGATGTTTTTTGTTTCACGAGGAAGCAGGAGGAGCCCCACATCTCCCATGTTAATCTCTGCCACTAGCTAGGTGCTGCCCTTGTCCCTGTGACACCTGTATCTGCCACATTTGTTTTGCACTGGAGCTTAGTTCAGGCCACGTCTCACCAGACGGGAAAATGGGAGGTAGTCTCTTTGGGCCCATGTGTGCCGGCTCGATGCAGTGTCATTCCCATGGAAGGAGGGAGCAACCCTGCCACAAGCATCCAGAGCTGTCTTCTGGATGTGCTCTTGGGCCTGAATCCAGGATCCCAGGTCTTCCTACCAGAGACAACTGGGAGGAGGCTGGGTGGCTGCCTCCTGATCTGACCACATATCCATCACCGCAACCTATGACCAAGCTCCTGGGTCACAAACCGGCTGGCAGTGAGAGAATAACTACTAAAAACGTTTCAGGGAGCTGAGTCCAATTTCTTCCCCAACCACAGGACCTGATTGTGGTGGTCCATGTAACTATCACCACAGCTCCCCAAATCAATTTGCCTTATCTTTTTATTTTTCAAGCTGTGGACCAGGCACGGTGGCTCACACCTGTAATCCCAGCACTTTGGGAGGCCAGTGTGGGTGATCATGAGGTCAGGAGTTCAAGACCAGCCTGGCCAACATGGTGAAACCCTGTCTCTACTAAAGATACAAAAAATTAGCTGGGCGTGGTAGGCACCTGTGTAATCCTAGCTACTCAGGAGGCTGAGGCAGGAGAATCGCTTGAACCCGGGAGGCAGAGGTTGCAGTGAGCCGAGATCACGCCACTGCACTAATCCAGCCTGGGTGACAGAGGTAAACTCTGTCTCAAAAAAAAAAGGTTTTAAAGGCTGAGCTGCTCCGCCACCTCTGCCTCAGAAGTACTCCTGCCCCAAATCCAGCCACCTCTACACTCCCACGCTGGGCTCCTGGTTGGCTACTGACATCTCATCTTGGCGCCTGCAGTCCCTGCTCTGGCAGGCGTAGTCCCTGTGCCTCTTGTCCTCCTTGGTCAAGTGAATGACATGCACCTGCAGAGTCCTCTAGGACGGAGCAGCCAAGAGACTTGGCCTCAGTCCAACGGGAAGGTGATCGGGGCCACTGGAGCAGCATGTTCCCTGATAGCTGGCGCTGGTGGACAGCAGAGAACAGGGTGACTTCTGCCTGGGGACAGTCAGGATTCCTGTGGCCACACAGTATCGGGCATAGACTTTCCAACAACCCTTGGGCCCTTTGCCTCCAATTCCTAGAGCTGGTGGCTCACCCACCTTCTGAGTCTAAAACATTTCCACCCCACTGATAGAGCTGTCATGTGATGGGCAAATCTCTATCTTTGGTGTCTTTTAGCAAACTGAATGCTGGTGGCACTTGGGCCTTTGCAGACATTTGTGAGTCTGCCTAACAGCCCTGTTGCTTTCTGTCTGCCTTGAGGGCTCTATCCTTCTTTCCAGCACTTTCTGACTTCCCCTATTGTTATGATGATGATTATTTTTTGAGACAGGGTCTTGCTCTGTCACGCAGGTTGGAATGCAGTGGTATAATCATAGCTCACTGCAGCCTCAACTTCCTGGGCTTAAGCAATCCTCCCATCTCAGCCTCCCAAGTAACTGAGACTATAGGCACATGCCACCATGCTCTGCTAATGTTTTATTTTTTAACTTTTTTTTTTTTTTTTTTTTTGAGATGGAGTCTCGCTCTGTCGCCCAGGCCAGAGTGCAGTGGCCGGATCTCAGCTCACTGCAAGCTCCGCCTCCCGGTTCACGCCATTCTCCTGCCTCAGCCTCCCGAGTAGCTGGGATTACAGGCGCTCCGCCACCATGCCCGGCCTTCATTTTTGTGTTTTTAGTAGAGACGGGGGGTTTCACCGTTAGGCCAGGATGGTCTCGATCTCCTGACCTCGTGATCCGCCATCTTCGGCTCAGTGCTGGGATTACAGGCTTGAGCCACTGCGCCCGGCAATTCTTTTTTAACTTTTTGAAGAGATAGGGTCTTGCTTTGTTGCCCAAGGTGGTCTGAAACTCCTGGCTAAGCTGTCCTCCTGCCTTGGCCTCCCCTTTAAATGCCCCTTGTCAGCTACAGGCAGCTGGCTCCATTATGAAGCCTCTGTCACTAAAGCCCAAGCTTTGCTCCCTCCCTACCTTGGAAGCCTCCTAAAGCCTTGGGTCCCTGTGCCCTACTCCTGCTACAGGAAGTGGCTGCGCTGAGACTTTCCTCGGCGTTGCAGGTTCATCAGTAAAGAGATCCTGACTCATCCGGAGGCCGAGGGCCTGGGTATGGCTCACAGACAACACGTACAAGTATGAGGACCTGGTGAGAATGATGGATGAGATCGTCTCCGCCTTGGAAGGGAAGATTCGAGTAAGCAGTGGTTCCATTTTCCTTATTAATCCTAGTTGTCGTTGTGCTGGAGGGTGGGGGTGGGCATTTGGCTTTCCTGCTGTGGGAGGCCTCATGGACTCAGAGGGCAGCTCTCTCTGCTGTGCCCAAAGCCACGGAGCAGGAGGCCACGGTTGCACCACATCGCCACTTGCGCTGGTGCGCTGTGAGTGCAGCATCAATGTGAACATCACCCGGGCCAGACCCTGCGCTGGGCCTGCATGTGGCACTGCACCAAGGAGCCCTCAAGCACTAAGAGCCCACACCCGCTCCCGGCTGTCTAGGTCCCCACCGTGGTGGATTACAAGGAGGTCCTGCTGGCGCTAGTCCCCGTGGAGCTGAGAACCCAGCACCTGTGCAGCTTCCTCTGCGAGCTCTCCCTGCTGCACACCAGCCTGTCCGCCTATGCCCCAGCCCGCCTGGCTGCCGCAGCCCTGCTTCTGGCTAGACTGACACACAGGCAGAGTAAGGAGAGGCCCTTCCCAGGGATGCCTGTGTCAGGGAAGGTGCTCACATAGGAGGAGGCTGTGGGTCGGAAGAGTCCAGTATCCGTTTGTCCTGGTTACTTCTTCAGGGATGAGATACAGCACAGCTCCTAGCTTCAGTATGTCCCAGATTTCTGACTGTGAGCCTGCACGCCCTACGTATGGGTTTTTTTTCAAAACTGTTTTAAAAGGATTGCAACCCTGAGCTCCAAGAGACTCCACAGCAGAGCCCACAGAGCTATAGAGTGGAAGTGGTCAGGCGGCTGTCGCCACAGCCACTCCGTCCCCTCCATCCCCTCCATCCCCTCCATCCCTGGCCTGCTTTCTTCCCCAGCACAGCCCTGGACCACTCAGCTGTGGGACCTCACCGGATTCTCCTATGAGGACCTCATTCCCTGCGTCTTGAGCCTTCATAAGAAGTGGTGAGTTTTGGCCAGGCGCGGTGGCTCACACCTGTAACCCCAGCACTTTGGGAGGCCGAGGCAGGCAGACCATTTGAGGTCAGAAGTTCGAGACCAGCCTGGCCAACATGGTAAAACCCCACCTCTACTAAAAATACAAAAATTAGCCAGGCGTGGTGGTGCACGCCTGTAATTCCAGCTACTCAGGAGGCTGAGGCAGGAGAATCGCTTGAACCCAGGAGGCAGAGGTTGCAGTGAGTTGAGATCATGTCACTGGACTCCATCTAGCCTGGGTGACAGAGCAAGACTCTGTCTCCAAAAACAAAAACTGGCCAGGCGTGGTGGCTTACACTTGTAATCCCAGCACTTTGGGAGGCCAAAGCGGGTGGATCACCTGAGGTCAGGAGTTCGAGACCAGCCTGGTCAACATGACAAAACCCTGTCTCTACTAAAAAAACAAAAATTAGCCGGGCGTGGTGGCGTGCGCCTGTAATCCCAGCTACCCAGGAGGCTGAGGCAGGAGAATCGTTTGAACCTGGGAGGCAGAGGTTGCGGTGAGCCGAGATTGCGCCATTGCACTCCAGCCCAGGCAACGAGTGAAACTCCATCTAAAAAAAAAAAAAATTCCAGGACTTTCTTATCTCACACCTTTTTCACATTGAGAGCAGCTGCTCCCAACCCAAGCTCATTGCATAGGCAGCAGAACGTACTAGAAAAAAATGAGGGTGTCTCCCTGACCTGTGGTAACTTGTACCTGTGTCAAGTTGTCATCTAGCTCAGGCGCTGGCACACTGTGGCCCTCAGACAGCATCTGGCTGCTTTTGTGAACGGGGTTTTCTTGGCAGCAGCCGCCCTCACTGGTTTCCACATCGTCTGCAGCTGCTTTTGCTCTGGCAGTGGCTGAGCTTATAGTGCAGCGGAGACCACATGGCCCCCAGTGGGGAAAATACTCACTCCCCTTCCCTTGAGAGAACAGCTTCCACCCCAATGCAGCCGTTGGTATAGATCTATCCTCTGTCTCACTGAGAAGATGGAGGCTGCGGGCAGGTCCCTTGCCCCATCGTGCCCAGCTGTGGCCCCCTCTCTGCCCCAGCCCCACTGGGCTTCCCTCCACCTGCCCCGGCCCCTCCACCCTTCTGTCTGCTGAGCCTGGCCTGGCCCTTGCTGCATCTGAGCCCCTTCACCTGCCCTGGCAGCTTCCCTTCAGCCCACATTGGTTTGTTCTATGCAGTGCATGAAGCCCCCACCGTGGGCCGGGCGTTGGGGGAGAGGCCAGGACAGAGTTCAGAGGTCAGGTTATGTTGGGAGAAACAGCAGGCAGGAGCGGGGCATGTGGCACGGGCGGGTGCGGCTCCCTTCAGGGAGTGCAGCCAGGGTCACTTGGGCATCTGAGTCCCAGGCAAAGGGGGCAGCCATGCCAGGGCCCAGTGCAGACCAGCGGGGCCAGGGGCTGTGAGTGGAGTCATGGCAGTGAGGGGCAAGGGGGACAAGCATGGGGGTGAATTTGCATCTGACCAGCCATCTCCCTCGCCTCCTCAGCTGTGTTCACAGACTTGCTCCTCCCACCTCTCGGCACCACCACTCCCTGGTCTCCCCCTTCCCCGCTTCTGCCATGACTTCCCTTTCCTCAGCCAAATCCAGCAGACTCAGCAGTGTAGGCTTTTTTTTCCTTTTTTGAGTTGGGGGCCCAGGCTGGAGTACAGTGGCGCCATCCTAGCTCACTGCAACCCTGACCTCCCAGGCTTAAGGGATCCTCTTGTGTCAGCCTCCCGAGTAGCTGAAACCACAGGCACCACCACACCAGGCCTGGGTGGCTTTTCTCCAGCCAGCATTACGCTGACCTTCCCTTCCTCGGGGGCCTCAGCTTCCTGCCCTAGGCCATGCGGCCTGGGTATTAGTCTCCCTTCTCACCCACCCCAAGGGGCCTGGGAATTCTGGCTTTCTGCCACCCCTCAGACTCCTTTCCTGGGAGACTTCATCACTTCCAGGATTCAGACCACGTCTCGACCTTGACCTGCCACCAACCCTGCCAGTGTGACTCAGCCGTTGGCCTGTTTCAGCCCTGGTGGGTTGTGGTGCATGAACCACTGTGCACCCAGCTGAGGCCTCCACCAGCTGCTCCTGCTTCTCCATCCCTGCATCCTCGCCAGTGCACCTTCCTCGCGCGCTCACCGCTTGGGGGCTGGAGCTATCCGTGGTGGCTGCCCAGCCTTCTGGAACACTGGCAGCCACCCCACGTGTGTCTCGTGTACACTACCCAGGGCCTTGCTGTCCGGCTTCTAGGATGAGATCAGAACTCCCTGGGGGTCTCTCTGCCTTTAAGCAGCACCTTCTCTGGCCCATCTGCTGTTTCTACCCCCATACTGTACTTCAGCCACAGGGGACCTGGTGGCATCTCCTAGGCTTTGGCATGTGCTGCTGCTCATGCTGCTTTCTCCTGCAGTGCCCGGACCCTGTGCCTTCTGGGCAAGGAACGAGGGTGACAGTAGAAGGGTCGGCATGGATCTTACCCGCCCCCACCTTTGCTTGTGGGGAGCACAGATCGTCCCAACACTGGCCACCAAAAGCTGTTTCTGAGCTGCGTTTATTCTCTTCCACCTGAAAAAGTTAATTTTTTTTTTCCAAACCAGATAAGTTAGAAACATTATTTACAAACTAAACTTCCTTTTATTGTATGATTTAATGGGCTTTTAGTTTATTCACACAGTTGTGCTTGTCATCACAACAATCAAATTTACAACATTTTCACTTTCCCCAAAGGGACAACACACCCCTCAGCTGTCACCCTCTGGTTCCCCACAGTTTCCTCAGCCCTAGATGACTCAGTGGTCTACTTTCTGTCCACGAATTTTTACCATTCTGGACATTGCATATAAATGGAGTCACAGGACAGGTGGCCTTTTGTTTCTAGGTTATTTCCCTCAGTGTAATGTTTGCTGGGTTTGGCCATGTTGTGGCGTGTGTCCCTGCTTTATTCCTTTTCATGGCTGAATAATATTCCCCTGCATGGACCACATGTGTTTATCCATCCCACAGCTGGTGGACATTTGCCTATTGTGAACAGTCCTGCCATGAACATTCTAGTACAGGTTTCTGTGTGGACATAGTTTTTCCTTTTTCCTGGGTCTTTACCTAGAGAGAATTGCTGGGTTCTGTGGTGACTAAATTTAACCATTTGGGGAACTGCCAGGTCGGATTCCAGAGTGACTGCACCATTTTGCATTCTCATTGCTCACTTCAGTGAACTAAGGCTAAAAATGGGGTGGGGGTGCCTCACATGTCCACTCCACGTGACTGTTTCCAGCTTCCATGATGACGCCCCCAAGGACTACAGGCAAGTCTCTCTGACCGCCGTGAAGCAGCGATTTGAGGACAAGCGCTATGGAGAAATCAGCCAGGAAAAGGTGCCTCTCTCCTGCCACCTGGGCATCTCATGAGGTGCTGGGGTGTGGGCGGGCCTCACCCTCGGGGCCTCTGCACCCCCTAACTCTGGCTTTCCCTAAGGTGCTGAGCTACAGCCAGTTGTGTGCGGCATTAGGAATGACACAAGACAGCCCCGACCCCCCGACTTTCCTCAGCACAGGGGAGATCCACGCCTTCCTCAGCTCTCCCTCGGGGCGGAGAACCAAACGGTTAGTTACCCTGCGCCATACAATGCTGGCACCCTCATGCCGGCCCAGTTCACTAAGCGCTCCCTCACAGAGAGGCCCCCAAGGCTTGTCAGGGGAGCAGCAGATCCCAGGACAGTGACCCTGGGACGGAGCCCTGCAGTCATGCCTTAGGCCCCTGCGTAACCTCCACTGTCTCCAGCCCAGGTCTCCTTCCTCAGAGGCTGTTGCCTCTCCCTCTGCCTGGGATCCCTGTGGAGGAAGATGGTTTCGAGCATGCGGGAGCCCAGCCTGGCTCTAGCCCTGCCTGTGCCTGTCATGTGTATCCTGGACTTACCTGCTCCATGATGCTGCTGTCACTCCCAGCACTCGAGTTGTGACCTGAGTCACATCCCCAGCACTTCCCTCACCACCCGTGTGAACCTGTTTACCTGCCTCTCCTATCTCAGCACCTTGGCTGTTCCTCCTGGAGTTAACTTCCTCTTTCCACCTCACCCACCTGGAGAACTGCTATTGATTCTGCAAGGCCCCGATGAACAGGGCCCTCCCTGTGCTGCTGGCCCTGCCCCTGTGACTCCTTAGCACCATGTGCACCCATAACTTTCCCAAGGGCGGGCACTGGGTGGCTGGGTCTTCCCTGTCAATACAGGACCAGGCAGGGCTGCCTCCAGGAGTGTTGTGTGGGGAGTGGGCCCCTGGCAGTAGACCTAAACTCCTGGGGAGCCCTGGGGAAGCAGCTGAAGCCCCTGCTACTGCTGCTTCCTCCCCAAGAAGCATGATAGTACTTTCCATTGTGCGGAAAGCAGGAGACCTGATCCTCCTGTCTCACTCCACACACGCACCGACTCCCTGGGGCCAGGGTCATCACAAGGAAAGTCCATGTAGACACGCATAGCTACTCCAGGAGGGGGCCTGGCCCTGTGCTCAGCCTCACTGTGTTAAACTCGCTTCTCCAGAGGCCCCCCAAAGCCCCATCAGTCTCTGAGACAGACACCCATGGGTGACATGGGTAGCTCTCTCCACCCCCGCTCCCCACCCGGCCCTAGGTTCAGGAAGTGGAAAGGCTCAGCTGGTGTGGCAGCTTTTCTCAGGCTCAGGCCCACACTCTGGCCTCTAGCCCCATCCCGAGCAAGACTTGACCCCAGTTGGGCGTGGATCACCACCGCCCAAGGCCAGGCCATTCTATGCAATCTCACTGGCCCCGGGCTGAGCACTGCCTGTCCCTTATTAATCAACACTAGAGGGGCTGGGCACTGTGGCTCACGCCTGTAATCCCCGCACTTTGGAAGGCTGAGGCAAGTGAATCACCTGAGGTTAGGAGTTCGAGACCAACTTGACCATCATGGTGAAACCCCGTCTCTACTAAAAATACAAAAATTAGCTGGGTGTGATGGTGGGCACCTGTAGTCCCAGCTACTCAGGAGCCTGAGGCAGGAGAATCACTTGAACCTGGGAGGCGGAGGTTGCAGTGAGCCAAGATCACACCACTGCACTCCAGCCTGGGTGACAGAGCAAGACTCCACCTCAAAAAAAAAAAAAACACTGGAAGGTAGCATCATCCTGGGGGTGTCCAGGGGACCAGATGGTTGGCTCAGGCCCCACAGCTGAGCCAGGTGGGCTGGGCTTCACACCCAGACCTGGGGCCTGAGTTTGCCTGAGCTGTCCTCCAGGTTGGCCCTGCCTCAAGGGCTTATACCTGTTCTAGCTTCACCAGCATTTTCTACACAGCAGACCCTTTGGGAGCATGCAGTGACAGGCCGGGGCACACGGGTGTTAGAGGTAGGTGCAGAGGGCCTGGCCTCCCAGCGCTGCCACCCATGACCGGGTCTCCTGGGCTCTCTCCACCTTGCAGGAAGTGGGAGAACAGCCTCCAGGAGGACAGGGGCAGCTTTGTTACCACCCCCACTGCGGAGCTGTCCAGCCAGGAGGAGACGCTGCTGGGAAGCTTCCTTGACTGGAGCCTGGACTGCTGCTCTGGCTACGAAGGCGACCAGGAGAGCGAGGGCGAGAAGGAGGGCGACGGTGAGTGTAGGGCCAGGGCGCACCGGAAGGGACATCACACAGGGTGGCTCTCACTGAGGGTCTCTGGGCACCTGGCCCTGTGTGAGCGCTGTGGGAGGGAGGAGGATGTGCACAGAGCACAGGGCGGGGCCAGCTCCTGCCCTGCGGGGGAGTGTGTCCAGGCATGGGGAGAGGGAGAGGAGGGGAGAACCCCCAAAACACCACAGCTTCTACCATCACACAGGGATGAGAGGACTTAGGCCACACCTATCCGGCTCCTGCTCGTTCTGTGCTGGGAAGACCTCACTGGGATGAGGGAGGTAGATACCTGTCTGGAGTTCATGGAGATCCTTCTAGGCCAGGTGTGGTGGCTCATGCCTGTAATCCCAGCAATTTGAGAGGCTGAGTCAGGAGGATCACTTCAGGCTAGAAGTTCAAGACAATCCTGGGTGACACAGCAAGACAAAAAATTTAAAAATTAGCTGGACAGGCTAATTTTTCTTTCTAGAATGTCGTTTGAGATGTGCCCATGTGGCTTACATGACAGTCCTCACTGCCCTGCTGGGATCACTGCCCTGTGCAAACCCCAGGCAGACTGCATGGGTCCTTACCAGAAGCCCAGTTAGTGTGAGTCCTGTCGATTTCCCAGTTGCTTGCTTCTGCATCCACTTGGCTTGAGCTAGATGCCCAACTTGTCATCTCCACTGTTGCTGGAGTCATGGCAGGCAGCTGTCCAACCTTGGAAGAGGCATGTCACCCACACTTCTCACCACAGGAGGGTAACACAGAGGACCATAGCTAGGTAGAAGATTCTTGACCTGCACTTCAGGGTCCTGACGTGGCAGGGGGTCTCCCCTGATGCTTGGGTGTGACATGATCTCCCTCCCCACCAACCTTCCTGCAGTGACAGCTCCCAGTGGCATCCTCGATGTCACCGTGGTCTACCTGAACCCAGAACAGCATTGCTGCCAGGAATCCAGTGATGAGGAGGCTTGCCCAGAGGACGAGAGACCCCAGGACCCACAGGTACCAGCGCTGGATACCCAGATCCCTGCAACCCTAGGACCCAAGTCCCTGCTCCGCACCAGCCCGGAGCCAGGGAAAGACGTCACGACCTCAGGCTACTCCTCCGTCAGCACCACGAGTCCCACAAGCTCTGTGGATGGTGGCTTGGGGGTCCTGCCCCGACCTACCTCAGTGCTGTCCCTGGACAGTGACTCGCACACACAGCCCTGCCACCATCAGGCCAGGAAGTCATGTTTACAGTGTCGTCCCCCAAGTCCCCCCGAAAGCAGTGTTCCCCGGCAACAGGTGAAACGGATAAACCTATGCATACACAGTGAGGAGGACACGAACCTGGGCCTTGTGAGGCTGTAAGTGTGTCAGCGCATTTGCCGCAGTGGATGTGTACTGAGGGGGCTGGAGGCGAGGGGTGGGAGCACAGCATAGGAATGCTGTGTAGATCCCGGAGGCCTTCGCACAGAGAGCAGAGAGGGTAACTTGTGGCCACCAAGTTTCTTTCTCCGCGGGAGTCCCGTGCAAGCTATGAGAATGTTGAAATGAGAGTGAAGAGGTCAGATCCCTCTCTTTGGAAAGTTTAGCCTCAAAGCAGTTGGCCGCACTGCATGGAGGGCACCTCTCTGTCCCTTCCATGTCTCACTGTCTCTAGAAGCTTCAGCCCATGTGTGTCCTGGTCTTCCCAGCCCCAACAGAGCCCAGTGCCAGGAGCTGACAGCTTTCACGCTCGAGGCACATGTGACCTGGGTAGTCAGACACCACTTGAGCTCCTGCCCACATCTGTCTGGCTTGGGGCTCCGGTGGGGAGCTGACAGCTCTGAGCACACCACTGTCCCCTCATCCACCTTGGTCTGCATGGGGCACCCACTTCCTTCTGGGTGGGGATTCCATGGTAAGGGGGCCTGTGTCCCTGCACACTGCGTGGACTCCCTATAACACGTTACTCATTTTAGAGCTCTGTCCCAGAGGTGTTTGTCTGTGACCCACAGATGGTGTCAATGTGAACACCTCTCTTTGTGCTGAATTTCTGGGCCATTTCTTTTCCTGTCTTTGTTTCTAAATTTCCTTCTTCCAAGATGAAAACAAGAAAAACTTAGAAGGTATTAAAAAAACAAGAGATTCCTACCATTATTTAGGTTCAACTGCAAAACAAAAATCTTACTCTAGCCCCTCAATGCCATCCTGGCACACTCTATGTAAAAAGAATTTTCCCGGAGAGGCTAGCCAGAAAAAACTTGAAGTCCCCTCTAACATCTGAGGTGACCAAGAGGCAGAGGAGTAGAGCAGTCGGGGGTCGTGTCGTAGCTGATCCCAACTGTAGCTGTGCTCTGGGGACCCGTGGGAGGGAGGCAGACCCCTGGGCTTTCCTGCTGGCCACAGAGACTCTGCTCCTGCATGGAAAGGGAGCCTGGGAGGCAGCAGTCCACGCCTGGGGAGCCTGTCTGGGGCCATGTGACCGTGGCGTCTCCCTGGGGATGGGCTTACCACAACACACTCACCCTGCTGCAATCCACTTCTGTTTCCTCTGCAAATGTAAGAAAGAACCACTTGACCAGAAGTGTCCCCCAGATGCTTTTTTTTTTTTTTTTTTTTTGAGACGGAGTTTTGCTCTTTTCGCCCTGGCTGGAGTGCAGTGGCATGA